ATCTTTTGACTTATAAAAGACTTCAAACTGCTACAGAAGTTGACCTTCCACACAACACAACTAAAAAAAAAAAAAAAAAAAGTTTTAAGTTAGAATAGCCAAAAGTCTGGATTTAATGCCAATTGTTGTGTGGAGAGACATGAATATTGATGTTCACTAAAAGGCTTTATCTAGTGTGACTCAGCTCTAACACTTTGCAAAAAAACTGAATTCAGTTTCTAGACATGTAAAACTGGTACTGAGGTCACTCAAATGAGCCAATTCATGTGTTTTTGCTAAGTTTGGATTCAAGGGAAGAGTACAAAAACAACCCACACCCTCCATTTGTAATTGTCCCTTTTACAGAACTGTATGTGAAAGAAAGAGGCGCTTCAAGCGTTTCTTTTTTTTAAACAGTTTAAGGAGGTCTTCCTCTCTTAGCTCTGTCTAAGCTAGCATGTTGGCTTCCCTGCAATATGCTGCGGTAGAAAAAAAATCAGATGAAGATAAGGACTTCTTAGACTTTACTGAGAAGTGACTTTTGAGGCCAGCAAGACAAGTTAGAAATGAGAGTAAGTGAAAGATTCATGGGACATAGAGGGCAGGAAGAAGATGACAGAAGAAAGAGGAAATAACAAGGAAAAGGTATGGAATGAGAAAGAAAGAGAAGAACAGGAGGGAAGAAAAATACAAACAGCTAAAAACTGTTACAGAAGTGTGTTAAATGCAAAATATTTCAAGAAACCCTCAAAGCATGATAAGGCAAATGTTCTCCAGTTTTCTTTGAACAGCAAGGATCAATCTATAGGAATAGCTTAGTACCTTTCTTACTTGCTTAAAGCGCTAACGGAGAGCATGTCAGAAAAATTTTTTTATTGGGGTATGAAAACTAAACATTTTATAGACAAAAACAACCAATGGGAGAAGGGGCAAAAGAATATAAAGAAGTGCAATGAGGAACAAACATGGAAAATGTATATGGAGCTTCAGTTTACAGTAATCCAACTCACCATTGATAAAAGGGAGGATCTTGATTTTATAGTTAATCAAAGACTGTTTTAAATGTAATCTACACGTCACGGGGATGAGAGATTTATCAGCAAATCAACTAATAAAAAAACCCTCAGAATGTAGTAAAGACTACATGGTGTCAGCATTGTTGCTAAAATTGAACTTGGGCCCAACTGTACACCAAAAACAGAAGTGTACATTTCATTTCTTAACATGCACTTTTTTTTTATCATTTCCTGTTTAAGTCTTCGACTCATCATCATCCTTAACATGTCACAAAGAGACAGAAAGTGACTTCTTTCAATATGCTAATACGATTTTCTTTTTGTATAGCAACACCAGATTAAGAGGAAATATTACCTTTGAACCATTTTCCCCTTTCTGAAACAAACAATTAGTAGTATGCATACAAATATATCTGTTATAAGTTTAAAATCTTCCTCTATGGGTCTAATTAGAAGAACTAAGCTATGCTTTGGCTGCACCGATTAAAGACTGTAATAAAGAAATAAGGGAAAAAATATTTTAAAATTATAACATTATGTGCATGCCACCAAACAATAAAAACACAAATGATTTACTGTATATTATTTTTTTCATTTACAAAAGTCTGTTTGGTTCATATCTCTATAGTTTCAAATGAGAAAAGCAATCTGGAGCTCTGGGGGATGGGGGAGGCCACTCCTATGAACCAGCTCCCCCACAGCCCCCAGCTAGACAATGTCACATGTTTATTACATTCTTTTAAAAATGAATTCAGGCAATAAAAGATAGAAACCTTGAGGTGGAGTTAAAACCCAATTTTTAAAACATTGCATTAACTGAGTTTTGGTGTATAAATATATAAAAAACATGAATTCTCACTCTTTTAAACCATAAAAAAAGATTATTTTCAATAAATAATAAAACAACAGTATGATTAAAATTCAAAGAATATTTCCAAAAAAAAGAAATGGTGGGGTTGCATGAAAGAAAAGCATCCTGGGAATGTCCTGGAAGATGGCGACACTGAAAGCTGCTGATCAGCCATGCCTGTTCAATGTTAGCTAGATCAGAACTTATTTGACTAATATGTTTTCATCTCACATTTAGCGTACAGTAGAATGTTTAAATAGTGCACAAATATGATAGCCTGATAAACCAGACTAAATGTGAGATTAAATGTGTAATTTAGTCTGGCCCTGATGAATGAGACATCAGAGAACAAGCGGTTGTTTTTCAAACCGCTGTCTGTGCCTATTGGCCAACGCTCTGACCAATGAGCACAACTGATTGTGACGTAGTAAGCGCGACAGAAAGCTGGTGGGGGAGTGTAAACAAACAGCCTGTCGGTAAATACGTCCTTCTTAAAAGTGAATGAGCGTAGAGCCTCTTCCTGCTCACGTTTCAATGATAACCCCAAGTCTGATCCTTTCAAAACTGATTCTAAAGCGTAGTCAACCCGAACTGTTTGATAGTTGTTGCCATCTTCTTTGTTGTGCTTTCTCCAGCGTTGCGCAGCTTTTTCTTCACGCCCTCAAAACCCCTCCCACTTTGCATCCAAAAGTTTAAAACACATCTCTGTGTTGTGATTGGCCTGCCAGTTCTAGGGCCTGGGACATTGAGGCTAGACCCACTCGCAAGCAAAAATGATTTTGGCCGCTGGTGGGTGGGGCTAGTTTACTAGGCTACAATATGATTCAAAACGCTGCAATTGAAACACAATTCACACTTTGTTCAATGTGCTTTCGCTGGGCCATCCTATCATTACGCTACCAATCACTGAACATTTCTGGAGGTGTCCCTGGTAGTTATTCCTTCAAATAATGAAAAACAAGGCTGTAACCACCACGGTGAAGTTAGTTTTAAGTCAATATTAGATATTTAAGCTCCACAGGGTTGGGGGCACCTAGCTCACGCTTGAACTGATTCAGGAACTCACACTTGGACAATACCTCTAATAAATTCTTTGTCTTGTGGCCAAATGATGAAAAAAAAACAATAGTAATTTGTGCTACTAGATTACACAAATGAGGTACACACGTTTCAATTCAACTTTAAGTCATTTTCACTTTTTTAAGTCGTTTTTGTTACTCAAATGTGTTGTTTTTCTTCAATAGCTTCAAGGTCCTGAGATGTCATGTACCTGACTGACATCTGAAGATGAGGCACACTTATTTTTATTTCATTTTAAGCCTTATTATTATTTTCTTTAGTTTTAAAGCCAACATTTTGCATTTTTCTTCAATAGCTTGAAGACCATATGACCTAATAACTAAAAATCTGTCAGAAATTGTTCTCATGACTAGACACAAGAGGCACACTCATTTTATTTTTTTTAATTCTAAGCCTTTTTATAGATATTCTTTTAAGATTCTTTTATTAATTATTTTTCTATTTCCTCTTTTTCTTTCAGCTCATCTGCTCTCGAAAGGTTTGAGTTTTTGTTGATTAAAAAGATTGACCTTAATTGTTTCTTGTTAAGAAATAAGAACAGGGTCTGTTTAACAACCTTGAGTTGGAAATGTCAATGACACGTTAATTTCCAATTGAATCTGGATAACAGGCCTCGCACTGCCTTTATAAAAAAAAAAATGACATGATATATACCATATGTGTTAGGCACTAACATATCTCAGAGTAATGTGGATGTCATCCACTGAATCAAATTAAGCACAAAATATTATTTTTGGTCATACCGTGTCTGCTCTCTGTTTCTTACTAACATCAGTATCACTGGCAGCTTTACTCTCCCCCATATGACAAGGTATAAAACCCCAACATGTGTAAACAGGTAATCCATTAGTTCATGAAACTTTGTCATAAAGTGTACTTATCGCTAAAAGAAATTCTTTACATGTGTGAAAAGAATAAAGTTGAGATATGACATGGTTTCTTGGGATCTGTTTAATGTTACTCTGGGTCAGAGGTCACTGATTAGCGGACGCAGGTCCGCATCCGGACCCACCTGCTCACTAATCCAGACCCAACCTTATTTCAAACATTTATAAATTGCCGCATGTTGTCCGACGTCAGTGTCCAATTTCACTTGTGCCACTTTTCCTGTTTGTATGGTAAAGCCCTGCGGGACCAGGATAAATGAGATGCAGTTCTCTTTTTCTGGCCATTTTAACGTTTAAATGACCCCACAAATGTGATGCTCCAGAAACACAATCTGCCCAAAGGAAGGTCAGTTTTGTAGCTTCTGTAATGAGCTAAACTGTTTTCAGATGTGTGAACATGACTGCAAAAGGGCTTTCTAATCATCAATTGGCCTTCTGAGCCAATGAGCAAACACATTGTACCATTAGAACACTGGAGTGATAGTTGCTGGAAATGGGCCTCTATACATCTATGTATATATTGCACCAAAAACCAGACATTTGCAGCTAGAATAGTCATTTACCACATTAGCAATGTATAGAGTGTATTTCTTTAAATTTAAAACTAGTTTAAAGTTATCTTCATTGAAAAATACAGTGCTTTTCCTTCAAAAATAAGGAAATTTCAATGTGACCCCAAACTTTTGAAGGGTAGTATATATATATATATATATATATATATATATATATATATATATATATATATATATATATATACACCCTAAAAAATATGAAAAGGCTTAAAACAGAATAACGAATGAATTAGCCTCATCTGTCCCATCTACTAGAGCAATTTCATATAGATTTTCACTCAATTGGTGACCTAAAGCTATTGAAGAAAAACAATTTGAATTAAAATGTGTGCATCTCATTTATTTAATCTAGTAGCATGAATTATTATTGTTTTCCTTTAGTTGGCAACAAGTGTTAAAATGTTTTTCTTTTTGTTTCTACCATAGTGTTCGGTTCGGAAATTTGTTGACGGTCCCTAAGTGAACCACTACCCATGAGCAGAGGGAGCAACAGAGAAACACAGTATTTTCACTTTCCTCATAAAAAAGAACGTCCCAGTGTTTATTTTACAAAGTGTTTCTAAAATACCGATGAACCAAAGCGACATAAAAGCTTCATATCGTCCTTTTTTCTTACCATATCATAGACATTTAGTATGATCGGCTCGTTTGCCATCACTGGCATCAGGATCTCGGCCCCTTTCCTCTCTTCTTCCCCGCGGCTTTTTCCTTCTCCTTCCCTCGGTGCGAGATCCAAACCCTCGCCTCCTAAACCGTCTTGCCGCCGTCACTTTTTCTAGGCGGTATATTCAGTTTGAAAATTCTATTATTAACCTCGCTGTTAAAACGTAGCAGTTCCGATGATATATCCTATCGTCCAACATCTGACTGGCTTTGTCCAAATCCCCGCTGAGGGGGGGAGCAGCGGCGGCGGACGGATGAGCCTCCTCGGTGTCCAAATTAAACCACTAGCTAAACCCGCCGGCTACCGGCGTCGTAAAGAGATATATTTGAGCTCCATTTACAGTGGAAAAATTTTTGTCTCATCTTCCAAGAACAGCCACTGTTATAAACAACATACTTCTGAGTAGTGATGGGTCCAGATACGCCGATGCGCATGCGCAGATTCACGGAGCGAAACAGCAATGTCGGTGAGCGTGTTGTTCCAAGAAAGTCACGTGATTGATAGTTTGTAACTGACTGGTGCCCTCTGCTGCCTTCGCGTGGTAGCGGAAATACTAAAACTCAACCTGAAAATTGCACATTATCACCCACTTATGTCGTAATTACCATTCCCACTGGAAACAATATACCAGTTTAATAGTGGAGAAACTATTGGTCAGCTTTATACTTTTTTTTCCATACAGAAAAACTATTTTCTGAGAATGTATGTATTTATGAGCAACTATGCAAATTAACAAACATCTAAAAAAAAAAAAAGTACACCATTATTATTAAACTGGTATATTGTTTTTTTTTTTAGAGTTGTGAAACAATATTGGACCCTGCAAAACACAGATTTGCCTTCAGAAAGCCTTAGAAGGGCAACAGTCATGTTAAAAAAGTAAACCTATGCATGAAATTCTTTTTTTTTTTTTTTTTAAGTGTTTTCATAAGGTTTTTTTTTTTGGCATTCATATAAATATACTGGTGTGTGATAACTTAGCAAAACGTCTATTTTGAATATATATATATATATAATATATATATATATATATATATATATATATATATATATATATATATATATATATATATATATATATATATATATATACAATCTGGGGCCTGAGCAAGACCCTTATCCCCACATTTTGTTGCTCTTTACTTGTCACAGAGTAATGACGAGATAAAAGCTGAAATATATTAATACAGTACATTTTATATTTATCACCGTTTTAACTTGTGTCGTTTTTAAATGACCGTTATTGTTTGATTTTTATCAGATGCTCGCTACTAGTCATTCTATTCATTTGATGCATCCTCTTCTTCCTGTAGCAGATGAACTAGGAACTCTATTACTGTCA